CGGCGACTGAGCGTCATTCGCGGCGGTCAACCCCTGACGATTGACGCGCAGGATTTATAAACCGGGCGGAATCTCTAATCGGCGAACGTGTCAAAATGGTCACTCCACTTAACTTTATTAATATTTCAATCAGAGGCAGGCTGCGTGACTCTGTCAAGCAGAGATTCCTGCGACAAGAATATCATCGCTCTTCACTGACGTAAATCAGGTGGCTAAGTGCCATGGATGCTTAGCTGGCAATTACCGATTTCTAAGTGTCTGCATTAATCAACGCTACATTATTCTCTTATTTAAATAAAATACCGAAAATTATGTGTCAGGCACACCTGTGGCACTTTGCCATTTTGAATGGGGAAACGTTTTCGTTATCGAATTTTCACGAGTAATTGTAATTTGTAATTGTCGTATCGTGAATTATGTTTTTCATTTCTTACCGTTACATTATTTATATTGTTACGCGCTGTTAATTGTGCTTTTAGTGTTTCATACTTTTGGACAAAAAGAGAAGCTTCCTGAAAATTCTGCGGCGTGTGATCGATTCTATTGTTTACTATTCTCGACATGGATCGAATCTGTCAATTTTGACGCGATATAATGGAGCGACGGACAAAGCGAAACAGTTTCCGGTGCTCGCAGCTATGTGACTAAAAAAAAAGTTCTCGGTATAACCGGGCCAGAAACAGAATAGTCTGAATTAAATTCCGTCCCGCTAGCTCGTCCTAGCCGCGCTGCAAGGCGGCTTGTAAATTGTGCTGAAATCGCAAATCGCAGGGATTTCCATCGGTATGATCGGACGACCTCCACCACCTCGGGTTTTTCCTACGATCACGGAAATCAAAGCGGAATCTTCGTAGAACTGAACCAAAGAGAACGAAGAGAAAAAATAAAAAGAGAGAGAGGATAAAAGATAGTCGAAGACAGAAAAACAGATCGAGACAGAGTGCGAGATATGTATCCTGGCATCCATAGTGAAGAAAAATCCGGGAGCTTCTCCCCCTCCCCCTCCCTTTTACAGGACCACCCTTCTAGAGCGCGTTCTTCGAAAAAACCGAGACCGTCTCAGATCTTCTGAGACAATTTCGAGGCCGGTCCACGTGGTGGAAAGTACTAGGAAAAAGATCTATATATGTATAAATTTGCCCAGCGCAAATTCTTAAATGAATTATCCATCGATTTTAAGAAAAACTAAACCAATATAAAATTTTAAGATTTTCTTCTCTCTTTTAATTTTAATAATCACTATAAATCAATTTTATTCAAGAACTGTATTTTTGAAACTGTATTAATATTATAGCGTTATTGTAATTCAAAATACATTTTTCCTTTTATTAAAATTTTAAAACTTAATACAAAATTAAAATTACAAAAAATAATATGTCTAATTATATTTTCTAAAAAAATTATCCCGATTAATTATCCCGATTCGTCACAAGAATACATTACTAAACATTTCCTCAAGATAAATCTACGCTATATTTAATCATTCATTAAGAGATTTTTATCTTTAATTATTCTACCAAGGCCATTTATACTTAGACTTATATCATTATACAAAGAGCCGAGTTTCAATCTCATCATCGCATTAAATCACAGTGAAGTCGAATGAATAAAAGTGGCACAAAAAAAAAAAAACAACTCGATCCGTATCGATATTCCTCTCAATAAAAATGTATTGGTACGAAGTAATTGTTCATTTAAATTAAATAAATTTTTTATAATAATAAAACAATTTTCCAACGTAACATTTATCATTCCTTTGTTACCAAGTTCTCATTGATATCAAGATTAGGCTTGTCCGCGCTATACGTCCGATCTATACATCCTCGAG